GGGATTAAGGGATCGTTTGCTAGGTCAGCATGGGGATCAGAGATCAAACAAGGCTTTGAGACTCTTTAGAGTCTCAAATCCCAATCTGATTTATAAAAAATGAATTCCATGAACCAAACCTGCTCACTGCATATGTCATTATGTGGAATGAAGGGTCTTTAGTTACTCCAAGGAGAACTCAATTTGGTGACTGTGAGTGAAATCCAGACTATGTATTATTTACAAAGATAAGAGGGCTGCGGATCCAGAACTGCCTCTCCAGGACAGGTTTGCCATCCAGGAACACTCAGCTGAGATAAGGTGTCCTGGTTCCTACATCATCGATTTACCAGGGCCCACAGCTCAGAGCTGGTGTCCCTCAGTCAGACACCTGCCACCTGCTCTCCTCACGCCCCAGTGAGTGATACCTACCACATGCAAACGTGGCTCTATTTTGTTTTTAACAGGATCTCCCTGTGTAGCCTGGCTGTCCTGAAACTGGCCAGGCTAGATTCGAACGCACAGAGATCTGCCTGCTTCTGTCTCTTGAGGGATGGCAGGTATCACCACACCCAGACAAACATGACATTTGCAGTCATCTGATAGTAGAGTTTGCTTTCAATAAAACAAAGACAACCGGGGAGGAATGGTTTTGCATATCTAAAAACAACAAGCGGGTCGGTGCTGGGACAGTTCTGGGTCAGTACCAACTCATTACCAACATAACCTGCAAAAGGCAAGGTTGCCAGCACTGTGCAGGGCAGCCACCGATACAGCATTTGGTTGGGGGCTGTCTTCCTTTCTCAGATGCTTCTCAAAGAGGGAAATGTATGCCAGGCTCATCCGGGCAGCTTCCTGGAAACACGGCTTCCTGCCCAGGGGTGGCTATCCAGGCCTGGTCCCCTGAGTGAAGAGTGGGCACGCCCCAGCAGTCTGCCTGTGTAACAAACCGCCTGAATAACTCCTTGTCCTTGGATAGCTTCAGCCTTCATGCTCATCTCAACATGTTAACTGATAGAGGGGAGGAAAAAGCTAATCCCACCTGACTCCCACGGGGCACAATCCCTCCCCTCTGGCAACACCAAGTCACTGCAGAAGCAAGAAATTGAGTCAAATCTTTCAACATTTAAAAAAAAAGAAAGAAAGGAAGGGAGGGACGGAGGGAGGGAGGGAGGAAGGAAGGAAGGAAGGAAGGAAGGAAGAAAGAAAGAAAGAAAGAAAGAAAGAAAGAAAGAAAGAAAGAAAGAAAGAAAGAAAGAAAGAAGGAAGGAAAGAAGGAAAGAAAGAAAAAAGGAAGTCAGACTTTTACAAAATGGACTCCAAGACCTCAGAAGCATGGAGCCGTTCAAGGACGAGCACATACTGACTGCTGCAGCTGAGGAGATCAGGGTTAGATTTGGTGGCTTCACACGCTGGTAGCCGCCTCCCCAGGTGATCTGGCAGCACATCTTGGAGATTCAGTGAGGTGTCAGTGTGCTCACCAGGTGTCACAGTGTGGCACTATGGCTGTGTCGCTGGAGACCTGGATTAGTTAAGAAGGCATCTGTTAGATTGCCTTACGGAGGACGCCTGAGAGTCCCAAACAGGAAGGCAGAGAATCTGGTGGTTGTTCAGGGCATGAGACTAGACTGCCCCGCAGCCCCAGTCTGGTACAGAAGGCCTGGAGGGCTCCTGCAGATTTGCTGCTTTCCAGTCTAATGCCAGAGAAGGAACTCCGAGCCCCAGGAGAGATGCACTCACCAGTGAGAGTAAGGGCAAGCAGGCAGAAAAAGCAAACTTTCCTTCTTCTCTTCCTGGCTTGGGATTTTGTTGTTGTTGTTTGTTTGTTTGTTTGTTTCTTTTTGTTTTGTTTGTTTGTTCTTTTGTTGTTGTGCTTTTTGTTTTGGTTTGGTTTTTCAAGACCTGTGTAGCCTTGGGTGTCCTGACTCTCTCTGTAGAGTTTGAGGCTGGCCTCAAACTCACAGCAATCCTCCCGCCTCTGCCTCCTAAAGTGCTGGGAGTACAGGTGTGCACCACCGTGCGTGGCTATTCTTTGGTTTTGTTTTTAATTTGAAGATTTATTTTCTTTTTAACCACATGTATATATGTGTGAGTTGTGCAAGATTGTAGGTGCCCACAGAGATTGGATCCCCAGGAGCTGGAGTTACAAGTGGTTGTGAGCTACCCAATGGATGCTGAAAGCTGAATTCATGTCCTCTGCAACCACAAAGAGCAAATACACCCTCCTGACTCCTGAGGAGCCTCTCCAGTCCCTTGCAAGTCCTGTCTGCCACCAGAAGATGCCCATCACAGTCAAGGTGGCTCTTCCTATTTGAAATAATCTGATTAAGAATAAAAAGCACTCAGGAGGAGGAGAAGGAGGCAGGCAGGCAGATCAAGGCCAGCCTGGTCTACAGAGTGAGTTGCAGGTCAGCCAGGGCTTCACAGAGAGAACCTGTCTCAGAAACAAAGTGAGGCCAAAATCCCTGACAGGGGTGCTCAGTGGCTTTTGTCTTAGTTGACTCTGGATGCTGTCCAGTTGAACACCAATATTAACCAGGCAGCCCAGCGTCCACTCGGGAAGAGAAGTCGCATGCTCCCTTGCAAGAAGGCTGGAATAAATGCACACATGGCTGCCTCTCATGCTACCTTTGCATTTACAGACAAGAACACGGTAGGCAGAGCGCTTGCAGATGCTTGTTGGAGATGGGGACCACTCGGGCCTGAAATCTTATGGGGTTTCGTAGCCACCGTGTTTGCCTCTCATTTTCCCTGGCAGGTGCTCACCTTCCTTACAGAGGTGGGAGTGTACCTCCTCTGTCCTTTCAACTCTGCTACTTTTTAAAAAAGATTTATTTATTTATTTATTTATTTTATGAATGCTCTGTTTTCACACACACCAGAAGAGGGAATCATGTTCCATTACAGATGGCTGTGAGCCACCATGTGGTTGCTGGGGCTAGAACTTAAGACCTTTGGAAGAGCAGTCAGCACTCTCAACCACTGAGCCCAACTCCAGCCCCAACTCTGCTCCTTTCCAACTGATTTCTCTGATAGTCATATTTTCTTGTTTCTTGACACATCTAATAGTTTTTTAAATTGCATACTGACATAATGGACATCACATTACAGAATGTCTCAAATTTTTAAGGAGTATTGATTAGCTTAATCATGTTTGTTCTGTTCCTGTGGTGGGGGGGGTGCTTATGCGCACATGTACGTATGGAGTTCAGAGCTCACTGCCCTGCGCCTTCTTCAATTTCTCTTCTCTTTATTTTTTGAAACAGGATCTCTCATGGTTCTCTTCTCCCTCAGCACTAAGATTGTTGGCAGATGCCACCACCCCTGGTTTTTACAGAACTACTAGGGATCAGAGTTATGTCTTCATATTTCACAGCAAGCAATTTATCAACTGAGCCCTCTCCGCAGACCTAAGTTGATCCTTCAAGATTGCTCTTAAATTTTCCTAGTGCAGAATACAAACTCCTGGGCTGGGCCTCTGTGCAGAATGTAGCCTCTTTGGGGGAATGCATGTATGGAATGTATATTCATGACGCCAGGTGAGCTTGTCTGTGCATTAGCCATGTTTGCAGAACCTTGGCTTCTTTTTGGTAGCACTGACATTGAAAACTTCCACCTCACCTTAATTCTGAGAACAAACCACAAGCTGAAGGTGTCTGGTGCCTGGGATGTGTTAGCATCAGCCACTTCTCCACCCTCCTCCTTCTTACTGCCTGATGTAAAGGTGGTCCTTCCATCGTCCCCTGAGTCCTCATCTGCCTGGTCTTACAATGGTTCTCAGTACTAGGGCAGTGGAAGGAGGCTGAATTATGAGCCATACTCACCCAGGTCCATGTGCAAGGCTGAAACCCACTGTATGGCTGAGTTGCACAGGGTGAGCAAGAACTGTCCAGGTAGACAAGGAAAACAAGGTGAAGGCCGCTTTCCTAGAGGTGCAGTTTATCTGCTTGGCCCAGTGATCCGTGGCAGAAAAAAAGATCTATAGACACTGGCCTGCACCCCAGCAGCAGGCACAGCGAAACAGCTCAGCCCAAATCCATTGCCTCTCAGATCTCCCCCAGGACATGGCTATGCCTGAAGTCTCTGAAAATGTTTCCCTGATGCTCATTCAAGGCAAAGTCTAGGGAATTCCCTGAGGTCTGAGACTCAGAGTAGATTAAAATGAGGTCAGATAATCCCAGAGAATCAAAGACTACTGAGAAGTTCCATTTTTTGAAGACTATTTGTAATAGATGAGTAGCATAACGTCTACTGTAGGTGTTGGTGTGGTGTCAGTGACTAATGAAAATGTCATTTCCTGTGATTTTTATCAATTACAGTAAATATGCCGGTAATCACCCACTTTAGCTGCTGTCTGGAGTTGAGGCTGGGGACCTCTCAGAGGCCTCGATAGGCAAACTCCACAGGTGTAGACTGACGTCTAAGCAAACAGTAGTTAAGCATGCTAGAATTTGGAGAAGGGTTAAATGTGTGTCAAGCAGACAAATTTGGACTTTTCCATAAGGGTCTGACACGCCAGGCAGGAAATAGGCAGAAATTACTCTAACAGTAAAAATCTTGTCATTTACAAACCTCTAAGCAACGGGCTCATTTAACACATCAGCTCATGGATAATGATGGGTGAGACTCAGCCTGGTATTTATACCACCTTTAAAGCGTAGGCACCAGGGCAAGCTTCCAGTGTCCAAAGAGGACCCTGTGGTGACCTGTCAGCCCCGACAGCTGCAGAATGAGTCAGGGGCCAAATGCCACACAGGCTGAGATGTGAGAACCTTTCTACTTCTTCAAAAAACAAAAAGTAAAGAAGAAAGCGACACAGCTGGAAGGGACATAGAGCGGGTAGTCTCTCAGCGGATAATGTCGAGAAAGTCCTACTTTGTTCTGTTTGCTTGTTTTCCTGGGAAGCTGCTTGGGGTCATTGGAGCTGAAAATGTGTCTCAACACGTGAAGCAAGTGTGTGTCATCTGCCGACATCCCCAGCCTGTTCTCAGCCAATCACCAGGCTTCGATGTCTGTTTCAGATGGCCCAACATCCACTGTCAGCAGGTGTGAGTCAAGATGAGAGACCCAAAACTTCCATCCTCTATGTGTGTGAAGAAGAAACAGCAAGAGGCAGGAAGCAGGGTTCCTGAAAGCCAAGCTGACCGGAAAGAATCGTGTGCTGAGTAAGTATGGGCCTCTGGACGGGCAGAGTCAGTGAAAGAGTGTGTAAGGACCAACAGCCACACCCACCTCTAGCCCTAGAGGGTGAGCAGAGCTCACTGAGGCATTTAGAGCAGTCAGTCCCCAGAGAGACACTGATCCAGACCATTCCTCTGGTTTTCTCTCCTCTACCCCTCCCTGGTTCCCCCGCCGAGCATCCCTCAGGCAGGGACATGAAATGCCCTGTGCCGCAGGTCGCTCTGGTGCAGACCCACCCACAAGCACACACACACCTTTCCATACCTGCCACACCTGTAGAAACACACACGTGCGTAGATAACTGTCTGTACCTGCACACCAGCACACGCCTGCCCACACCTTCAGGTGCACACACCACGGCCCACACCTGCTCATACCCTCATACACAGACATACCCGTAAGGACACACACACACCTATATATACCCTCAGGGATATGCATACACACATACACACGCCCACAGCTGCGTGGATAAACACACCTGCATGCGCCTGCAAGGGCACGCCTAGCCCACGCATTGTCATAGCTGCAGAGGCGCACACATACAGAGAACACACACGCACACACAGATATACATCTAGCACTAATGCTAATCTGATAACCTTTCACGCCTGCCCAGAGATACCCTCTGAGGTCAAAGCTGGCCCCTGTGTCTGTCTTCAAGGACACAAGCCACTGTAAAAAGAAATCTTTCTTTTTAGAAGAATTTTTAATTAGCTTCCATTGGTACAGTTCGGCCGGTTGATGTCTCCTGAACATTACATTACTTAACATTATTTTGAAAACTAACGGTTAGCAACGTTCACAGACAACCAGTGGTCTCCTCGGGCAGTGAAGATGTCTGGGCGACATATGCAAGACGCACCCAGGTGAAGAGCTGGACACTGGTAGACCTGTGGGCTAACTTTCTGTGACCGAGGGAGAAAGGCTCATGGCCACCACATGACCATGTCACCCACTGGCTCTGGAGATCTCAGTCAAATCAAAAGCCAATCGTGGACACCGGTACCTCACTTCACTCTGGCACAGGAATGTCCACGTGGGGGTGATAAATGGGCTTCGTAGAATGTGAACTCAGCCAGGGGGTGGTGGCACACGCCTTTAGTCCCAGCACTCAGCAGAGGCAGGCAGATCTCTGTGAGTTCAAGGCCAGCCAGGTCTACAAGGCGAGTCCAGGACAGCCAAGGCTACACAGAGAAACCCTGTCTTGAAGAAAAAAAAAGGGGGAGTGAACTTAACAAATGATTTGAGCAATGGGTTCTCTCTGTAATCTCTGCATTTTCCAGAAAAGCTGTATCCCCTACCCTCCTACTTGGGAGAATATTTGTTTCCCTCAATGAGTACTGTGTTGTTGTTATCTTCATGTGGTTGTTTGAAACATGGTTTCTATCTACAGTCCCGGATACCCTGGGACTTACTCTATAGATCAGGTTGTTCTCAAACTCAGTGAATCTCCCGTCTCTGCCTCCCAGCTACTGAGGTTAAAGGCGTGTGCCGCCATGCCCAGCTGAACGAGTCATTTTAGGGTGCGTGTGCAACAGCAGCATATGTACTGTGTGCTGGCCACACCCTAGCCTTAGCGCACTCGTTAATTCATAACAAGTTATCCTCCGAGGAACAACGGGCATGTTTTTAAATATTTTTGGCAGAATGTTACAGGCTCATCATTCCGTTAATTAAGCCTCTCTTCCCAGTCGCCTTGGGTTCTAAGATACACATGTGAAGTGTTTTCATCGTCTCTAGAATCGGATGCACCCGAGCTTCAGCAGCAAGCTGAAGCTTTTTTTTCTTCTTTCACTGGTGGTACATGGAGTGAAAATGCATCCCATGTTTGCTGGAATACGAGGAATAAACACACCCACTGAGGTAAGAGGGACAGAATTTGAGGTCCATATGGTCTAGAATGAAAAATAATTTGTGCCAAATCAGCTGTTCTTCCTAATACCTCTTTATTTGGGAGTTGTAAATTATATCCCCAAACTGAAGCACGGCACCTTTTATTTCAAAACCATTTTGCCATCTGTGCCCATCTCCACTACCTACTGGAAAGGCTACAGACAGACTCTAGAGGGTTCTCAGAGAATGAAGCAAGCCAGTGGCTGCATTTGGTTAACATACAAATTTTAAAACAAACCTGCAGGTTTGAAGTAGCTTGCTGCAATGCTCTCTAAAGGCCGTAGGGAGCAACTACCGCAGGGCCAGGAGCTCCACCGTCACCCTCCACCTGCCGCCAGCTTACCAGCCTGAGCCCTTCTGGGTCTGTTCTCAGAGCCAGGGGTTGCAGAGGGAACAGGGCCAATGGCAACACCGAGTCATGCTGAGGTGGGGAGAGGAGAAACGTTATGCTTAGCTCTCATCGGATGGCCAGTATCTTCATCATCGTCAATATCATCATCATCATCATCGTCAACATCATCATCTTAGAACCAGGATTCCAGACAGAAGCATCGGCCCTGTTGGTGCCACATTGGAAGTGGTTCTCACTGTGAGCAAGCAGGCTGTGCACATGCAGAAACCAAGGCTGTGGGCTCATGGGGAAGCCATGTGGTCTCGGGCTGAAGGTGAAGCTGCTTCACTTTCAGCTCCTGCTCCTTACTTCGTCTCATTTTTCCTGGGACCCTCCTATATGCACGATTTAAAGGGAATTACCTATTACTTCAATTATTTGTTTCTTATCAGCTGATGTTAAACTACAAGGATTTGCATTGAATGGACACAAAGAAAGAGCAAGTCACGGCGCGTCGCCAAATGAAAGAGTGATGTTCTGGCGAATTTAGCCGAAATAATTTACTGCTATATAAAAGTGGGAAAGTGGAAGGTACAGCCTTTGACCAATAAATCCCTGCTGCCCGTGAAACCCTTATCTGGTCCCCTCCGATATATCCCACACAAGGAAGCCATCATCATTGGCTCCGGTTTGTTATTTGTAAACCTTGATCTTCTGCACTCGGTGTCCTAAATATGGGTAATTAGCATCAGTTTATCACACTTGTGCATATTTCCTCTACTCTCCAAACACGCGCGCTTCCATTGGCTGCCATTCTGCTGCAGGAGATTATGAAGACAGATTGCAGAGAACGAATGTGCTGAACGAGATTAGGAAGGAATAGAAATAGCAACTTGGCCAATAAATTCCTCGTGAGAGCCTTATCATGCAATTACACGTTGACTAGCTTCACACTCTCCCAGCCTCTTAATCCAGTGCCCCCACCAGGAATAAAATTTCACTAATTTCTGAATTGCTGCAGATCCTCCCAACTTGTCGCCGAGAGTGGCTGGAGTGAGAGGTGCTGCTGGGAACGTCACGTCAAACTTCACGGCGAAAAAGCAAACTTTGCATGTCAGTGTGGGCGGCGTCGAGTTGGGATGCTCCGGGCTTCTCAGCATCTCTGAGTGAGTGCGTGGTGAGTGCGTGCGGTCTGGACACTCAGAGCCCCCTAGCTTCTCTGAGTTCCACATTCTCTCGTTTGGGGGTTGCCCCCCCCCCGTCTGTCTGGAAGGGAGGCTTTCCTTGCTAGTCCACCAGACTGGGAAGCCTGTGTCAACACAGTGCCCCAATTCATGCATCTTCATCAACATCATCATCATGCAGTCCCTCGACCTTGTTCAGTTCAGTTTCCTTCTTGCTCAGACAGGCTGTCTCTCATACCCTCTCATGTGCTCTAGCCCCCACTGAACATTAAGGTGTATAAATAGGAAAATCCCTGCCCACTCTGCACCAGAAGAGTGCAACCAAGAACACTGTAATAAGACTGCTAGAGAGGGCGCGTGATTCTTGTTCCTCCCTGCCTGTTAATGCTATTCTCCCCAGGGCTTTATAATAAGTTAGGTATTTAAAGAGGCCCATTAAGCCTTTCGATCTACCAGGGGACTATTTATAGCATAGAGCCACAGTCAGACATCATGAGGCCCCCACAGAAGCAAGGTGCTGCAGCAAGAACCCCACAGGACTGAGCTCGAGGGCATACATGGACGTTGAGATCATGCATGAAGCACGTTATCTGTGCTCCCAGGAAAGGATGGGCTTCCCATTGGGCGTGGAAGGAATTGATTAGCTAAGGAAACCCTCAGCCATCGTGAAGCAAGTTTTTATATGCCTATTACATTGTGGCCTCTGCTTTCTTTTCTCTAGGAGATTCCTACAGGGATTTACCATCCAGAGGAAAGGTTCTAGGTTTCCTTCCCGAAGGTTCCTCGAAAGCTGAGTTCAGATCAGCATGCCATGAGGCACGGCCTGTGCCTCTTCCCAAGGCGTGCTACACACACTGTTCTAGAAGGTGGCCCGGCTGCGCTGGGAGGAGGGCCCGCTAGCCGAGAGCCACCCAGGACTCAGGTACGCCTGGACCTTGACAAGGATGCCCCGGCCTTTTGCACGTTGTCTGGGCTTTTGTTGGCTGGCAAGGATTTTGTTTTCCAGGGAGGAGCCTTCGCTCCCCTTGAGTGAGAGAGAATAAGCCTGGGCCCGGGAGGCACATGGAGGTGCTAGTCTGAAGGAGTTGACTCTTAGAAACCACAGCACAGATGCCTGAAGCCGAGGAAACTCCTGCAGTGGTGGGCACCACAGAGTCTTGGAAGAGAGAATGCTCTACCCCCTGCTCCCCCGAGGAGAGGCTGGGACACCTCGTGCTGAGGGGCCAGGATGGCCGGCCCCTGCTGGGTCCGCATAGAAAGAGCCGGGTGCTCCTTTTGGTACCTTGGTTGGCGATTCTGTATGGCTTCATACACAACTCTACTCAAGCAAAGATGCTAAGCCTGTGGACACTGGAGCTCAGCTCCGTCACTGTGCGTGGAGAAGCCTCCAGAGCCCCAGAAGACCCCCGCCCAGGGGGTGACATCAGTTGGGGAGCTATTAATAACCGCCCTCCCCTCCCTGTCATATTTCCTGAACTGGTGAGCTTTGTGGAGGGGGTGGAGTAGGAGGGAGCCGCTTGCTATTAATCTGGGAACAAACAGCTAGCCCCGGTGACTGGTATTTTCGCTTTTCTTTTCTCACTTTTCTCAGTGTGGGGAAGGCGATTGTGAGGCGCTCTGCTGGAATTTGGCAGCGCGGAGGCTTGGAGAGCAGCCCCATGCTGGCTCCTATTCAGCCGGCCAGTTTTCCTCGAGCTTTGGAAGTTTCACTCAGCCGTGCACTCAATGGCTTCACAAAGCTGATTACAAGCTTCAGCGCATTCCTGAAGGAGCCAAAAGCGACGCAGGTGCAAACGAGCCGAGGGAGCCCCTTATCCCGGTGACAGAATGGGACAAGCTGGGAAAGGCTTGGACCACACAAATCCAAGGCTCACCAGGCAGCGGAGAGCTTGCCTTGGGAACCGGGGGTCATTATCCGCCCTATTCAGCGGGGCCGGGGACCCTGGGGCTGGGGAGGCCGGCCGGGCGCAAGCGCCACCGCCAGGGCTCGCCCGAGGCGGCGGGGACCCCGCTGGGCGCTGCCGCCCGTCGGGATGCTGAGCGCTGTTTGTTCCCACCGACGGCGTCCGTGAAATCCACCGTGCTCCTGAGAGCCGGCGTCCACACTCACGGGCATTCGGGAGAAGGAGGGCGGTGGAGATGCGCGGGGCGTGGACAGCGCGTGACTTGGGTCACCAAGGCTGCGCTGGCTGTTCCTGCCGCCGGTCACTCTCGGCTCTACCCCTAACCCCTCCGGCCTCTGCCGAGAGCGACCTCCGCAAAGTGCGGTGGTTGAGGACAGGGACGGGGGGGGGGGGGGGCGGCGAGGGCAGTGGCGGTGGCAACACAGGGTCGGGTGGGCCCGCGCACCCAGTGGGGCAGGGGTGAGCGCGGAGAGCCGTTTCTTAGTTAAAGACGCGACTGCCAGCGGCGGAAGGGCCGCAGGCCGCGGGGAGAGGCTGGCTCCGAGCAGGCAGAGGCTGGCTCCGAGCGCAGAGCTCGCAGAAGGGACGGGCGTGGGCGAACTCAGGTGGCAGCGCCGGAGCCCGGCAGCCGCCCCCGCCCCCGGCCCCGCTGCGTCCAGGTCTGCGCGGCCTCCCACCCCCCGCCCCCGCTCTGCCCGGCTGCACCCCGAGGTGCCCGCGTGCAGGGCGCGGGCGGGCAGGGCGCGCTTGCCGACGCTCTTTTGTCTGATAACTAATTTGAGTTAATGCGATCTTTATGTAAAGCTAGCAGCGGATAATTGTCTATTTTCTCGCCAACAGTCTCCATCACAGTCACTTATCTGGAAACCTGCGGCTGGATTAATCGCTATATTCCCAAGATGAGCGCTGCTGCCATCCGCAGTGAACGCGGGTGGGGACACGGAAGCATCCGTCTGGGCTCGGGTGGGGTTGTTTGGGCACAGAGGCGCACAGAAGATGTGGAAGAGGAGGGGCCAGGCCTGTGGGGACCCTGGCGTGAGAAAGGTTGGTTGGCCCTCGGTAAAGGCACAGAACTGCCTGTGCAAATAAAGGGCTTTAGACCTCACAGAAATGACGCTTCGGACCCTTCAGACTGAGGCCTATTTAGATGCACAAAAAAAACAAAAAAAAAAAAGTTTCCCTCCCGTCTTGATTTTCCAACTTCAGTGCGACCACACCCACCGCTGCGCCTTAAGCCCCTCCCCCGGGATTTAACCTGCTGCAGGATCCTGGTCCTCCAAGCGAAGGACTGGCAAAATATTTCCTTAGGAACTGTGGGTGTGGAACTGAGTCCTAGTTGGCCAGCCCCTCACCCTACCTACTGGAGTTAAAGACGGTGGGCTTGTGCTGCCAAATTTCCAGGGAGGATGTACTCGTCTACACAGCTAAACGTTCTCAAAACATCAGCTTCGGGGGCGAGTCAGTGGGTGCGGGCGGTGCTGTGCCCGCGCGCTGTCTCTGCAGGTGTGAAATTCCTGTCATCAGCCTGTGAATAAATCGGCACTGCCTCTGGTTGGTCAGTTACTCGGAGGAAAACTCCCTGCTCCTGAGTGTTTCTACATTCTGCCTTTGCCGCTCGGCCCCGCGTTGGTGTCAGTTTTTCACGATATCATTTCAGGAAAAGAGGACATTCTGTTTCACACCGCGACAGCTTTAGGCGGTGGAGATGGAAACCGTGGGCCTCCATTTTGGCAGCGTAAGTAAACTTCCAGGAGTGAATGCCTATTGGTCCACCACATTATTAGATTGTTAGATGAGGGGTACCCCGGGATGAGTCCTCCAATAGGCCTCTGCAAGCTCCTCTTTAAAGAACCCCTGTTGTTCCTCTCCAGCAGCCCGAGGAAATCTTCAAAAGCAAACACGGGAATCCCTGCAAACCAGTCCCAGCTAAGATTCCCAGGACAGTGCCTCTTCGTGCCCTCTGGACGTCATCCCACCAGCTCTCACCTGAATCCTGTCACCTCTGCCATCTTGAAGTGATCTGCGGACAATGCTGAGCTGGACAGCCCCTGGTCAACCAGGCAGAACAGTCTATGCAAATGCTGGAGGCCTGCCCTGGGAACAGTGCACCCATTGTCCTGGGCCTTTCAAAGCCCGGAGCAGCTGCTCAGACTCGCAGCCCTGGACCCTTGGCTGCCACAGCAATGTCATCACTGCAAGACATCAGACTCTGAAAATTAGACGACCCGAATTCATGAGCAGCCTGTCTTGAGTGTTTCTGTCTGTGACATGTTTCAAGGTCCGGGGGCCCTTCTGTTGTTGGGGGCAGGAGGAGGACAGGGGCAGGGGAGAGTTTGCAGTCGCTTCTTACTAGGGAGCTTGGAAACCTTGCCGACTGTCCTTGGGCTTATGAACTGGGGCATCTGGCTCGAAGGATTGAGTTTGAGGCTTAAGCGCTCTCTCTTGCTGCTGCTGCTTGCGAGTTTAAATGCACTGAAAGGAGGCAGGATGAAGCGATGGAGCAGGCATGCCAGCCAGGTGCTTGCACTTCTTGGGAGAGAAGCAGGCAGGCTGATTGGTCAGCACTCTCCAACCACCTCAACTCAAGAGTTCCTTCACAAAAGCATCAGTGCCTCCTTTAATCACCTCCATCCTTCCCCTTGCTCACCCCTGCCCTCCGAAACCAGGACTGAAAAGAATCCTTGGTCCAACCTTTGGTGGTTCCTGGTGTGGGAGTTCGAGCCTGGGGACAGCAGCGGGTGGCTCATAGCATGCAGGCTGCCAGAACCTGAGAGTACATCCCCCTGGTCTCCTGGCACAGGGCCTACTGGGGAGAAACTCCAAGGTTTTGGGGGAGGCTCGGGGCTTCGGGTAAGGCAGCTTCCCCTCTCCTTCAAATATGCTTGGTCCCAGGGACCTCTAGGGTATTGTATTTGGTTTTGTTTACTCTAACTCAAGCTGGCCTAGAACTCCTTGCAATCCCCCTGCCTCAGCCTACTGATGCTGGTGCCATCCTGCTCTGCTGACATGTTACTTGCCTCTCCACAGGACTCCATCGCTGTCCTCTACGCCTCCTCACTGGGTGCAGCATGTTCCCAGTGAACACCCGGGAAACCACCAGGCCTCTTATAGCAGGATCAAGCCCAAGACAGGAGGGTGTGTCCTCCTGTCCTAAGTAAGGCTTCCCCTGTGTGCCCAAGATTTCTGATAACCTGAACAGGAGGGCTTGGTTGGATGTGAAGTTCAACAAAATATTGCTTTGCAAACCCAGGGAAAAAAAGTTGAAAAACAAGTGGAGAAGAGATTCTTTAGACCACAAGGCTTAGTTGTTTGGGATTGAGCCTCTGAGCAATCCAGGCTGCCCCAAACCAGGCAGACTATAGGGCAGCCACTGGGACATTACTGCAGCGGGAATGTCAGCCAGCACGATTATATGGCACAGACCAGGTGGGCTCTCAGCACCTGTAGATGCTTGGGGTATCTACTGAAGGGGTGCAGAGGTTCTGGGTAGGAGGGTTGCTGGAGCGGGTAGCCAGAGAGACATCGTGTGACAAGAAGGATGTCTTCTCTGCAAAAGGAGCCTCCCCATTTCTGTGTAACTGCCTTGCTCCCCTTTCCGAATGCATGTGGGCATTCAATCTCATATGACAGGCACACTTGCCCACACAGGGCCAGGCATCGACCTTCATGTGCTGCAAGTCATTCAGAAGGGACAGACTCACACTCAAACATAAGCCATTCCCCCGTTGCACAGCTGTGTTCTGGCTGAATCCTGGATGGTTCGTTGGGCCTCACTACCTGGACCTCCAGGCAAAACTTGAAGAACTCCAGCTTAAGCACATAGAACAGAGTAAATGAGTCCAAGGGCCAGAAGGTCCAGGGCCTTCCCTTCTGCTGTCTCGGGGTCTGCTTGTGTGCCAGGTTGGACACCTCAAGGCTGGCTTGTCAGATTGTTTTCTGTGCTTCCTGGTTTGCATGCTCTGTCTGTATTATTCCTGGATTGCTCTTGGCATGCCACTTAGACTCCGAGTGACCCAGGAGGGTAGCTGGCCACCACATACAGCTCCTGAGCACCCAAAATTCAGAAGGTCATACACTCTAGATTTTAAAGCTGCTGAATGAGAAAGAGCTCAGTGACTATTTCAAATGTTGGCTACAGAAATGACTGCACTTGGGGTATGTTGGATTAAATAAAACACAGTATTGAAACCAGCTTCACTGCCCGCTGCTTTTGGGCATCAATGTAGCCTTGGTAGCTCCTCTTCTGTGGTTCCTGCCTTTCACTAGCGGTCTTTGGTCTTTCCATGATCCTGTAGGAAATGGAAAAGGAAGAAGCAAAAGTAGGAGGGGAAAAAAAAGCAGGAGGCAGCTGGGTCCCCTTCCCGGGCCTTTCACAGTTACTCTGTAACAATCAAAGCTTCCTCACTTTCACCAGCAGGAAAAAGAAGAGTCAGACATTGCAGGGATTGCTCGAATTGTAATTCTGTTTATTTACATTGGTGATCTCAGGCAGCGGTCCATGAACCCTGAAGCAGCCTTTGAAATGTCTTGCTAGTATGGCTGAATGATGGAGAAATCTGATTCTAGGTGTCACTGGGTGAATTCCATGGCGTTATAAGGAAACCTCTCTGTGTTATTTTCAAACTTTTGGTCAGCATTTGACACTTTCTGGCTTTAATTTTGTCTTGGAAATGAGTCACCAGGTCTGACTGCCACCACTCAAACGAAAGGAGAATTCTGAACAAAAATTTGTCTTCTGGGAAAACGGTTTATACCAACCAAGAATGAGTTCCATCTAGAAATTCCTTTTTGGACTAACATGAAGCTTTAGAACTGTATGAAATCAGATTTGGCCCGGGAGGTCACAGACAAATGGTTAGAAACTTTCATTTCACATTTATTCATTTATTAGGAGGTGAGCGTGCTGTAGGGTACACAGAGGTCAGAGGGTAACTTCCAGGGGTCACTTTTCGCCTTCCAGCCTGTGGAACTAAACTCAGGTCATCAGGCACTAAGTGCCTCTGCCTGCTGAGCCATCTTGCCAGCCCAAGTAAACATTAATATTAAAGAGCCCAAAGTACTCTACATAATATTTTAGATGCTAGATGTCTGAAAGTAGTAAAAAAAAAAAAATTGAATTTTTGTTTTGTCATTTGGTAATAACAAAACTGCTCCAAGCTCAATGTCTTTAATATAGTCTATTAAAGTACACCATGAAGATTTTGTGTGCATAGGTTTGGAGTATGTACAATATAGTCCAATATATTTATTGGGGGGGGTTGTATAATCAATATGAAACAATTCAGGAAAGTGTGAAGTTAAGTCCACCATGCCAATAAACTGGAAATATCTCAGAGATAATTTTGAATAAAATTGAAAGCATTTTTTATCATAAAAGGAGCTGTCCTGTTACCCATTATTTGTATGTCCATTTATCCTTTTGATTTGGGCTGAATTCTATCTAAGTGAAAAATTATAAAATATCAAACATCGTCAAGGTTTTATAGGTAAATGAATTGATATGGTTTCTTTGAGGGATGCTTGCAAAATATTTGATATTCCTTGAAAAATTATCATTCTTGGGACTTAACTAGTAAGAAATTAATAGCAGCATCTTAGTCTCTAATCAGACTGTTATCTGTCTGTCTGTCTGTCTGCTTGAGATGGATTCTCAAGTATCCCAGGCTGGCCTCTAAGCCACTGTGTTAGCTGCAGAAACCATAAAGTTCTGGCCCTCCTGCCCCCACCTCCCTAGTACTGGGATGACAGGTGTGTTCCACCATGCCCAGAGTTAAACAGAGCCTGGGAGTGTCAGGCAGGCGCTCCACGTGGGCTGTACCTCAAGCCCCGTATGTTAGAAAATGCCTTCAAGCGGCCCACATGTCTTGCTGAAGGACAGCATCAGCCCACATGGTGCCTTGGACATGTAGGGTGTGTCCCTGCACGAGGGGCTTCTGTCCGTGACAGCTCGAGACTGTTCTCACTTGCACTGACTCCCACCTAACTGCCGAGGAAAGCGTCCAGACTTCAGTGCTGCTGTCCCTACTTTTCCAGGACCGGGGAAGACTGAAAGAACCCTGACTGTTACAGAGGAAGGATGAAGGGAGAAGGTGCTGGGGAGGTGGGGCTGAGTACAGGCCTGGTACAGTAAAACTCCAATTAGCTGATGCTCCTTCTTGTCCAGCAGGCAGGTTACACGGCCTCATTTGCTTCTTCTAAGACCACAGAGGCTCCTCTCAAGGGCCTTCGGTCTTCCTTCCCCCTCAGGAGATTACAATGGTTATGCACTTTCAAATATTCACGGGCAAGATATTGTGGATAAACAGCCCAAGATTCACTAAATTAGGTCACTGCTCATATGGGGCTAGTGTTATATGTCCCTTGTGTTGAAATTATCTGGTGTCAGCTGCATTGATTGAAAAATTGAAAAAGCACTACAGACCAGGGGGGAAAGTCTTATTACAAGATGTCTCAAAAGCAGATAAGAAAGGAACGAGGGCCTCCTGTAAACGAGGCTCTTATCTAGATTTTAATATGGCAGTAAGCAAATTATAAATGTTTTTGCAAGTAAGATAAATTACATAGGGAAGCAGACATAGCTAAAGTTCGTGTTAGTCATATATACTCTGTGTTCACCAAGCTTGTATGTGTGTGTGTGTGTGTGTGTGTGTGTGTGATGAAAGCAGAATCCTCAGCAGGGTCAGGATATACCATCTGGATAGTTGCTCTCACTCCAAAAGAGGTTGTTCAAGACACTGAAGCCAACATCAATGGAGAGCCCTTGGCCTTCCTCATCAATGACATCTGCAGCAAGCAAGTTTCTCCAATGACTCTCCCAGGAGAGCCCTGGAACCTGGCCAGGGTGTACAGGCATGGCATGACATTCTCCAGGACTTCCTACAATGACTGGGCTTGCTGAAGTCAGGGGCCAGTGGCCCTTTTTCATCAGCCAGCTTCTTGGTAATGTTTTGGGAAACCAGTAATCCCAGTTGGGTCTTGTGCCTGTTGTCCCCTGATCAACTAAAGTTAACTGGTTCCGTATTCCAGAGGCATTTTAATGGTTTATAATTATAAAAATTATGTCTCCAGACATCAGTGGGACTATGTCAAGAATGCATTCCGTGGCCTGGAAGCTTAGGACACTGGAAGCTTAGGAGGGCGTCCCTGTGTGTGTCTGAGTGGTGGTAACCATGATGACCTTCCCCTCCGGGTCAGAACTGGGTTCCTGTTGAAAAGGTAACGTTTGACCATGTTATGAGATCCAAAGCGCTGGCGTGAGGGAGGCTGCCTGCTGCCTGGGAGGCAGCGGTGAGCCCCCTGCAGCTCGAGAGGACAGCTCGAGAGGACAGCTCGAGAGGCAGCGAGTCACAGCTGCGGTGGATGTGAATGCTGCCGAAACAGCTGCCACAACAGAAATAGAAAACAAAGGAGCTGGAGGCTGGGGTCTGGAATAAAGAATGCCTCAAACTTAAAACATCCGATGTCGTGGGTGAAGAAAAGAGACGGGCAGTTAAAAGTCACCCCAGCGAAAGGTGGAAGGCTCCACTCCCGCCTGTGTGGACAGACTTCTGAGAACCCATGCCCTCCGGAGACCCAGCACCTCTGCCGGGGCCAGAGCTGTGCCCGCTCTAGGTGTCTGGGAGGCTCACAGTGGGGAGCAAAGGCTCTCTCCTCACTTAGTGCAAATTAAGTATTGTGAAGAAAGTCACACCTTCCACAAGGCATGCCTGGAATCAAGGCCCTTGCTGTCCCTTTTGGGCTTCACTGGCTGGCCCCTGCCTTCCCCCTGCCAAAGCCATTTTGTAACCTCCAAGTTGGCTCACTGAGTGCAATGAAACCAGGACTTTGCCTAAGAGGTAGGCAAGGGCTGTGCATTTCTTCCAGGCTTTCACACCCACCACTAAACAGCAAGAAGAAGAACCAGTTCCCGGGAAGGGTGCTTAGTGAAGGCTGACAAGATGGAGTTTGGGGGGTCCAAACAGGCCCCCACCTACTGTGAGGATGTTCTTTCTCATGGGGCCTGGCACAAACTTCCCAGCTTGTGGAAGTTTCTGCTTCAAGGCTCCATCATGAAGTGGAAAGAAGAAATGAAGGGCAGGGAGGGTGCTCAAACTCACTACAAGAGAGGCTTCCTTAAGCCTGAACCCCCAGTCTGAAAGGCTTTCTGTATCTTCTCCCAAGTTCGTGTTCATCTTGATGAGACAGGAGGAGATATGGGTTAGGAGTCACCGGAACGGCCTCAGCACCATTGTAACAGTGAGTATTTCTGGGAGAGGCAAGGAGCAGCATGGGTCACCGTGTCCTCCCCAAGCAGGACAAAGCAAAGGGGAGGCATTCCAGGTGGGAGAAGAGCATTAGCAGAGGCACAGAGGCACAGGATAGCAAGGGGTCTGCAGGGAGTTATTAGGGGCCAGGTGGGTGGGAGGAGGGGCATTAAGCCTGTGAGGGAGGGGTAACAGGTAGGCTTGGCCCCAAAGCACAAGCCTGGAGGGCAGAGTGGAAAGGACAGCCTCTCTGGGAGGGGAGGGTTGGGAGTGGGAAAGAGATTGGGTGGAGGGAGATGCGTGAAGGGAGGCCATGTTTCTTGATGCATTCAGGGGAGGGAGGATGTAAAGAAGCCCGACTTACCAGGGGCAGCGTGGGGCCACACGCACACACGTGGGTGCCAGGTTAGGAAGGGGCCTGCGAGGTGCTGGATAGGGCGACCTGCATGCGCATGTACTTGAAAAGGGTGAGTCTGAGTGCTGGCACCGGCTAACTGAACATGGTTCTGTTTGCTGAAGTACTTCTTCCAGTGGGTGGAGCGGGCAGGGCAGGTAGGGCGTGTGTGGATTGTGCCAGGCTGGCTCAGAAGTGCTTTCAAAGCTTTTAATGAAAACGCTGATCGCCAAAGTTATTGTCTTGGTAAAATAAAGTGCTCCTACCGCTCGTGGTGGGCTTTAAATTAAAACACTGGCACTAAAACACAAATGCATAATTCGTGTGTAAACATTCACATACATTGTTTTTGTTGATGTTGTTCCTGTGTGCATGTGTGCAATTGTGGGGAGTTGGGGGTGGTTGATTGACACTGAGTGTCTTCCTCCATCACTATCTATATTATGTTTTGAGACAGGGTTTCTCACTGAATCTGAATCTCACTGACTAGAGAGAGTGGCAAGCTGTGATCCTCCTGATAGGTGTGTGCTACCATGCCTGTGTTTGTTTGTTTATCTATGTTCTGGGATTGAACTGGTTGGCAAATTATCTCTCCAGCCCCACTGTCAAAGTTTCAATAAAAAGTGAAATTAGCATATTTCTTCATCACTCAAAAGAATGATCCTTATGCTTGAGATGAGGGCAAGTTCTGAAGCTTTTCTTTCAGACCTATGGACAGTGTGCAGGTCCCATGAACCCAGCCAACCTGCCAGCACTTCCTGCACCTTCAGCTGGACTACCTCATCCAATCCTAGGATGCCCCACAAGGCAGTTTAGAACCACACAATAACCACCTTGCTAGCTAGGAATCTGAGGGAGTCCCTGGATTCAAGATCTAAGCTACAAGGCCTGAAGCCCATTCTCTGTCTGTCCTCATGCTGAACTTCTCATGGTGACCTCCTTACCTGGTGGCCTTCCCCTCTCTTTGTTTTCTCCTCTGATCCCTACCTGATACCCCCTGACTGGGATCAGGAGTCCCTCCTCCTGTCCTCTCTGCCTAGCTATAGGCTGATCAGCTTCTTTATTAACCAATCAGAAATGATGGAGAACAATTTTTATACAACACTGAGACAGAAAATGCTTCATAGACATTACAATGCCCATGTCTGGACTGCAACCAAATCTCAGAGTGCAGAAATCAGCATCTGAATACACAGTGCACAAAAACATCTCCCAACATGTACATATGAACAAAAATAAATGATGGAGTGAGGCTGGGTATGGTGGTGCATGCCTACAATCTCAGCCACTGGAAGATAGGGGCAGAAGGATCAGGTCATCTTCACTTACACAGTAAGTTTGAGGCCAGCCTGAGCTACATGAGACCCTCCATCATTAATAAATAAACAGAATATGGATATCCTCACTAAATACAGATATCTACAGAAGGGGCCCCTGCATTAAGGCAGAATAGGGGAGTTCTGGTTTGGTTCTGAAGTGACCTTGAAGTCCATATATGGCTGTCAACTGATGGTATTATTTATTGGAACTTGGTGAAAACTTTAGAAAATTAGACCCAGATAGCCAGGCCGTGAAGGTAAACATCTTTAATCCCAGCACTCGGGAGGCAGAGGCAGGTGGATCTCTGTGAGTTTGAGGCCGGGCTGGTCTATAAAGCATGTCCAAGACAGCCAGGGCTATTACACAGAGACACCCCCTCTCAAAAAAATGAAACAAAAC